TGATCTGGCAAGCGAGCAAGTCAACATTGGAGTGAACTCTCCGCCGACACGGCGGGAGCGCATTTCAGAGGAGCCGTCGGCAGGGAGCAGTTTGACGATGGCACATCGAGCGATGTTGTTGAAGTCATCGGCGGCGTTGATGGGGAGCTGTCGATTGGGGAGAAGTCCAGCGATAGCGATGTGGTGTAAGTCTCGGCCGACAAGCCTGCAGTTCGACGTTCCACCCGCTCCAACTTTGGCAAGCCTCGCGAGAAGCTGAGCTACCATGCTTGCCTGCCGCCGACCTCCTACAGCACTCTGCTCGACGATGCGCAGTTCGACGTCAACGTACCCGAGCTCGATCCCGATATGCACGCCGACCCGGAGCATCGCTGGGACATCGCTAACATGACAGTGAAGGAGGCGTTAGCGAGCTGGAAGTGCAAGGCAGTTAAAGCGGCGATGGACGAGGAGATTCGAAGTCTCATCACCAACGGCACATGGGAGCTGGTCGAGCGTCCGCGCGGCGTCAATGTCATGAAGAACCGCTGGGTTCTGACGACGAAGTACCATGTCGACGACACGGTTGCCCGCGAAAAAGCGCGCCTGGTGGTGAAGGGCTTCACGCAGGTCTACGGAGCTGACTACGACAAGACGTATGCACCGGTCGGAAGCTACGTCACGCTGCGGATTTTCCTCAGCATCGTCGCCGTCCTCGACCTGCACCTCATGTAGTTAGACATGAAGAATGCCTTCCTGCAGAGCAAGCTCGACCGCGTGCTCTACATGGATCAGCCGGCTTACTATAACGGCGGCACCGGCCGGGTATGCAAGCTGCTGAAGAGCCTGTACGGGCTGAAGCAGAGCCCTCTGTTGTGGTACTCGACGCTCAACGCTGTGCTGACGGGCGCTGGCTGGAGGAAGAGCCAGGTCAACGAGGCTCTCTATTTCAGAGTTGGCGACGACGGAGTGGCGTGCTGGGTGCTCGTCTACGTCGACGACCTGCTCACCGCCAGCAGCAGCACCGCGATGCTGAAGGAGTTGAAGGAGCTGCTGGAGGCCGCCTTTGAGCTGCGCGAGATCACCCCGGTCGAGAAGTATTTGGGGCTCGAAATCGTGCGCGATCGTCCGGCGCGGAAGCTGTGGCTGCACCAGCAGTCCTTCGTTGACAAGTTGCGTAGCCGCTTAATCGACGAGGAGCAAGCTGGTCAGCATCCGAAGACGCCTATTTCTGTCGACGCTTACGCGGAGCTGACTTTCGACGATGAGGACTTTTAGTCGCGCGAAGAGGAGGAGTACCGTCAGAAGGTCGGTTCGCTAAAGTTCACCGCCACAACAACTTGGCCCGACATCTCTTTCGCGTGCAGCAAGCTGGGGTCTGGTCTGACGGTGAGGAGCGACCAGCACTGGCGCGAGGTCGATCGCTGCCTCAACTACCTCTCTGACACGCGCGATTTTGCTCTGGAGTTCGGGGGCGGGCCAAAGACTGTGAAACTAGTGGGCTACACAGACACGAACGACGCCGACGACAAGCAGACGCACAGCAGCACAAATGGCTTCGTTTTCACCTTCGGCGGCGCAGCTGTCCCCTGGACGAGCCAACACATCAAGTGTGTGACTCTGTCCGCTACAGAGTCAGAGTACATTGCGGCCACCGAAGCGGCCAAGGAGGCTCGTCGACTTCGATTCCTCCTCGCCGAGTTCCAGCTCCTCGATGCTGGGATGCCGACTACTCTGAACGTGGACAATCAGTCCGCCATCGCAGTCGCTGAAGGCTTGGGGCTAAAGGGAAACCTCAAGCACATGGAACGACGCTACGCTTGGCTGCAACAGATGGTGAAGCGCAAAAAGATTGCGCTGGAATACATACCAACATCCAAGCACCCGGCAGACTTCCTCACGAAAGGGCTGCACTTTCCGGCCTTCAACCGGTGCTCTGACGCAGTTGGCCAGGTTTGCCTTGCCGAAATCGCAGCTAGCTAGCTAGCTTGCCTTTCTGCTGTGCGCACAATGTCCTTGTAGCTGTTGTAATTCGCCCCAATAACCTGTCAATGGACTTTAATTTCTAGTCCCTTTGTACATGTTTGAAATTTCTCGCCTTTGGTTACGTCCCGAATGCGGTTGAGAATAATTTCCATCTGCTGCGTGTACTGTGCTACACTCATGAACTGTCGATGTCGATATATTTATTCCGCGTGCCATATACGAAGTATTTATCGTTCGACCAGGAATGTCCGAAACTGCGCACACGTCCCTTCACCTAGACTATGTCGTTATTTGCGTACATCCTCTCCAGTGCCGGGCCTCGAAACAGTGTTGCTGCAAGCCGTAAGTGCATTGTATCGTAGGTCGGGGTCGTGCATCCAGTGGCTTCGAAATAGATCTCGAGTACAACTACAAATAGACGAACATCACTCTCATTTGCGCTAGGATCAACTTCCAAGATAGCTTCGACTTCGCTGCTTCGAGGTTTAATATCGCTGTTGTCGTTGTCACAAGTACGAATGTCGGTGTCGCTGTCGTCGCTGCTGCTGTGGCGGCTATTGTTCACGAGCAGGTTTTCAAGTTGCTTAAGTGTCGTGCGAGTTCGCTCCTTTTCGATACGAAGGACCGCGATCCCTTCTAGAATATTGTTGCTCAAGCCTTCCATGTCTGTCCTGATAAACACTCGGGTGGAGTTAAAAAATCATCACGGAACTGGTTTTTACGTCCTCGAATCGGCGTGACCGTTGTCGCCCCTCCTGTTTTTAAAACGAATGAGGTTTAGCGAGCGAAGAAATTCGAGTGAGAATGTGCTCTTTTTACCAAGTGTGAGGATCAAACCTCGAGTTCAGAATGTAAATCATGAATCATGGGTACAACTACATGACTATATACAGGCACGTCATAAGGTAGGTGACCCAGGAATTCGGCAATAGTCATGCCCACGCAACATCACTCGAGATAACTCTAGAAACAACAGTAAAACGGTGCACGCAATCCTATTCGGTGCGAAAACAATAATACATAGCAAGAGCAATGAAATCAGAAATAAGCACAGAAAGGATAATAGAACATAATAATAAGTTCGTTCAGGTAAGAACGGACGTCGTACTCTCCTACGGATCAAGTTGAAGTGTCCACATGGATCGCCACTGAACGGACGTCGAACTCTCACACGGAATTATTTAGTCGGCGTAAGGAAGTAGTATTCTTCTTCCAGACTTTCTCCCCCACCCCGAAGATTACCACCCTTTGGGTTTTGCTGCACATTGCTGCACAGCCGTTCTTTGTGCCAGGTGCTTCTAGTCCACCACTTGTATACCCAGCTAGCTTTTACCATGGCGTTCGCTAAAAAACTGAATCAACAAGGACATCAGCCGAAACGATTTCAGCAATGGTGCCCTCAGCAGTAATGGCGCCCTCAGTAACCACAGGGGCCTGGTGGTGCGAAGAGCGTTGGTCCCAGCGGCGGCCCCTGCAGCTGGTGGCCTTATCGCACTGGTCGCAACGTTGGGTCGTGCCAGTACCAGACCTTGACTGGCCCTCGTGCTGGCAATACCTGTAACCGTCCTAACCACTCCGCGTTGCGCTGCTTTAGTCGCTTCGACGACCTCTTCCATGAGCATTTTGAGCATGCGACAGTCCCCCCATGTTGGCTTGGTCTGCTTTGCGATCTCTCTTTGATATGTCCGTAAATCATATTCACTCTGTCGTGTTTGGTGTTGCCCGTAGTACTGTAGGATATGTTCCCTTGTGTGGAACTAGCTTAGGAACTTTGCATGTTCCTAATGTAGGTGCTTGTATTTCAAGTGTAGGTGCTTGTGTGGTTACTAGCCTAGGTGTGACGACCGTTGACGCGACTCTCTCTTTCACACTCAACTCCGGCGCGTCCTAGTGCTTCTTCCGCGGCCACATCACTGTCACACCATTTCCTGCACAAGTCTGAGTAGCTTTGGCCAATCCCACTTCGGGATCAGCCGTCGCTCGCATGTCAGAACATTACATTGCTTATGTTGTGTAGGCTGTAGTGGGGTAGCCCATAAGGGGTACAACCCAATTAGGGTTAGCACTTGTACTCAGTTTGGCCTCAATGCAACTCATTCTCGTGTGCTATTCTGACATGGTTTCAGAGCAGGTCCTGTTCCAAGACCGTTTTTTTAGGGCCCACCGAATAGTTCCCTGCCCGTAGCGCGTTACCCTGCTCGTAGCGCCCTACCCTGCCCGTCGCGCTGCCCCACCAGTCGCGCTGCCCTGCCCTGCCCTCGCGCCGCTGTGCTGGTCGCGCGCACTGCCCTGCCATCGCGCCGCCCTGCTGGTCCCGCGCGCCGCTCTGCTGGTCGCGCGCGCCGCCCTGCCCTGCCGTCGCGCCGCCCTGCTGGCCGCGTGCGCCGCCCTGCCCTGCCGTCGCGCCGCCCTGCTGGTCGCGCGCGCCGCCCTGCCCTGCCGTCGCGCCGCCCTGCTGGTCGCGAAGCCGCCCTGCCCTGCCGCCGCGCCGCCCTGCCTTGCCCGTCGCGCCACCCTGCTGCACGCGCGCTGCCCTGCCCTGCCTGTGCACCGCCCTGCTGCTTGCGTGCCGCCCTACCCTTTGCACCACCCTACTGGTCGTGCGCCGCCTTGCCCTGCCTGTAGCGCCGCTCTGCCGGTTGTGCACCGCCCTGCTCTGTGCGTAGCGCGCCACCCTCCCAGTCGCGCGCTCTCTTGTCTGCTTGAGTCGCCCGGCCTAGCCCGCTATGGCTTCTCTCAGTGTTCTCTCGTTCGCAACCACCTTCCGTTAGGCAAACGCGCGCATTTTGGCCAGCATAAGACTGCTAAGGCACTTTACGACGCTGTAGTCACTCGTTACTCCTCTCCTGCCATTGCTGCCCTCGGCCGACTCATACTGCCGTACCTCTTTCCCAAGCTGTCCGACTTTCCCACAATCGCCGATCTCATCACCCACCTTCGCACTAGTGACACTCGCTACCGCACTGCGCTTAAGACCGAGTTTCTAGACAAGAACCCACCCTCCCCCCCCCCCCCCCCCCCCCCCCCCCCCCCCCATGTACATCACTCTCTACTTCCTCGTCACCCGCCTCCCTGACTCTCTTCGCGCAGTCAGGGACCACTTTCTCGCCCTTGACCCCACAGACCTCACTGTCGACCTGCTCGAGAAGCACCTCCTTGCAGCTGAGACTAGCATAGTCGCTGTAGCTGCTTCTCGTGGCACTCCTCGCACTCCCTTCTTTGAGGGGTGTTCCCCCTCCCCCCTTGCCCCCTCTGTCGCTTCTGCTGCTGCTGTTGACTTCCTTCGTGCTGAGGAGGTCGGGGTCGTGTCTGCTCCTAGTGGGAGGCGCCGCAGCGGCAAGGGCAAGGGAGGCAAGAGTGGTGGGGGTGGCGGCGGTGGAGGCGGTGGTGGAGGCGGTGGAGGCGGTGGAGGTGGCGGTGGTGGCGGTGGGAGTGGTGGTGGGGGTGGAGGCATCGGTGGTGGTAGCGGTGGGAGTGGTGGCGGCGGTGGTGGCAGCAGTGGGAGTGGTGGCGGCGGCAGTGGTGGCGGTCGGGGTGGAGCGGTCCAGAGGGGAGACTCTGGCGGTGGTCAGAGGCAACAGCAGCAGGGTCCACGCAAGACCCTTACGCCCCAGCAGCTTCGTGAGTGGTTTGCTCAGCGTGGGCCGTCTGGGGGTAGTGTTCGTTGCCCGTACGTCATTCGCACAGGTGATCGGGCTGGTCAGACATGCGGGAAGGTTGGTCAAACACAGTACCGCTGCTTCTCCCGTCTTGACGACGCCTGGCGCGCAGAGTTTGGCGACGAGGCTGAGCTCCCCCGCTGGCTAGAGCCGCTTAGGAACGATGTGGATATATTTGCTCTTGACTATGACGCTATCCTTGCTGGCATGTATGCTTTGACTGTTAGTGCTGAGGGTGACTGTTACCTGTGTGTGCCGCCCGACCCAAGTATAGAGGCTGCTGCTCTAGCTCCTAGTGCGTCTGCTCTCTCTGGTTTTGCGTCTACTAAGGCCTTGCACACCTTCACGCTTGACTCAGGTGCTTCCCGCTGCTTCTTTTAAGACAGTACCACAGTCACACCACTCCATGCACCGGTTGCAGTCTCTCTGGCTGACCCCTCAGGGGGCCCGGTTCTTGCACGTTCCTCCACTGTTCTCCCGTGTCCGGCGGTTCCGTCTGGCTCACTCTCAGGTCTTCACCTCCCCTCGTTCTCTACAAACTTGGTGAGTACCGCTGCCCTCCAGGATGCGATGGTCACTACCACCACTCCTGGGGGTCAGCGTGTGTCGATCTGCACGTGTGCACGGACGGGCCGTCACCTGGCCACGTTCACCCGTCAGCCTGGGTCGAGCCTGTACACACTGACTAATGAGCCTACGCAGGTGGTTGCGTCTAGTCAGGTGTCCACGTAAGGTCAGGTAGCAGCCCCCTGTTCGTGTCGCCTCCTCACGCACCAGACTCTCCTATGGCACCACCGCCTTGGTCACCCCTCCCTGCCACGCCTCCGTGGCATGCACTCCCGCCTCCTTGTCTCTGGTCTTCCCAGGTCTCTGCCTCCCCTCCCGCCCTCGCCTGCGCCACCACGCCTTCCTTGCGTCGAGGGGCGGCAGAGCGCCGCTCCTCACTCCTCCTCGTTTCCCCCGACGACTGCTCCCCTGCAGACTCTCCGTATGGACGTGTGGGGTCCAGCCCGCGTCAATGGACAGGACAGCGAGCAATACTTTCTGCTGGTTGTTGACGACTACTCGCGTTACACCATGGTCTTCCCCTTGCACAGCAAGGGGGAGGTCCCTGATGTCTTGATCCCTTGGATCCGCGCTGTCCGTCTCCAGCTCCACGAGCGGTTCCGCCAGGACCTTCCCGTCCTGCGTCTGCACTCTGACAGAGGTGGTTCTTGCTGCTAGTTTTACTGTCACACGTGTCCTAGCCACCGTTGTCAATGACCGTTCTTTTGAGTCCACTGCTGCGTCTGCCTTAGTTGCTAAGCTTGTTGACTTTGCTGCTGTGTGTCGTCTAGACTACGCCTCTAGTCTTGTTGCTGAGTCTGAGTCTGTCTGTCCTCCGTCCGTCGGGGGTGAGTGTGCTCTTGGCACGGACGTCCTTGAGGACAGGCAGGAAGACTTTGAGTGTCTTGCAGCTGCTGTACCTCATCTCGTGGCCATGCTGCTTGCACCTGAGGGAGACCTGGATGCACTGGACATCCCGACCCCACGCTCTTACGCTGAGGCGATTACGGGTCCCTACTCCTCTCAGTGGCAGACAGCCATGGACGCAGAGATGGCATCCTAGAAGTCCACAGGCACTTACGTCGACGCAGTTCCCCCTCCTGGGGCGAACATAGTCGATGGCATGTTGATGTTCAGGGTGAAGCGGCCGCCGGGTTCTCCGCCTGTCTTCAAGGCTCGTTACGTTGCACGAGGCTTTAGTCAGCGACAGGGAGTTGACTTCTTCCAGACCTTCTCCCCTACCCCAAAGATGACCACTCTTCGGGTGCTGCTGCACGTTGCCACTCAGCGTGACTACGAGCTTCACTCTCTTGACTTCAGCACAACTTTCTTGCAGGGCAGCCTGCACGAGGAGATCTGGCTGCGCCACCCTCCTGGCTTCACTAGGTCGTTTCCTGAGGGTACCCAGTGGAGCCTCCGACGGCCAGTCTAGCACCATCACCCTGACTCAGTCACACATGGTGCAACAGGTCCTTCAGCGCTTCGGCTTCCGGTTCTCCTCGCCACAGTCCACTCCTCTGCCTACCGGTCACTCGCTCTCATCTCCACCTTCGGACGAGTCCGTAGAGCCGAGTGGCCTGTATCCAGAGCTTGTGGGCTGCCTCATGTACCTGATGACCTGCACTCGACCTGACCTTGCGTACCCTCTTAGCATCCTGGCACGCTACGTTGCTCCCGGGAGACACCGACCAGAGTACTGGGAAGCCGCTAAGAGGGTGTTGCGCTATTTGTGCAGTACATCGGGCATGGGGCTCGTGCTTGGAGGACAGGGTCCAGTTGTCCTCACTGGACACTCAGACGCGTCTTGGGTTGACGACCTGGCTACGTAGCGGTCGTCACAAGGTTACACTTTCAGCCTTGGCTCCGGCTCTGTTTCTTGGCGGTCTACCCGCTGGTCTTGTGTTCTCAGCTCCAGTTGTGAGGCTGAGATCTACGCAGGAGCCATAGCTGCACAGGAGTTACGCTGGCTCACCTACCTGTTGACCGACTTGGGAGAGCGGCCTCGTTCTCCTCCAGTTCTGTACGTAGACAACAAGGCCATGATTGCCTTGTGTCAAGAGCAGAGACTGGAGCACAGAACGAAGCACATCGCTCTGCGTTACTTCCTTGCTCGAGAGTTGCAGCAGTGTGGTCAGCTTCGTCTTGCTTACGTGGCCACACGGGCCAACACTGCTGATATATTCACCAAGGCACTTCAGCTAGGTGATCATCAGCGTTTCTGTACTGCTTTAGGCCTTGTGCCTGCTTTGTCTCACTTGCTCACTACGTGACTTTGCTTGTACTGTGATCTCTATATATATACCTGCATGCTTACACTTGCTAGGTTATGATCACTGTACTGTTTGTTCTCTTTTGCATAACTCTGCATGTGAACTGGCCAGGTGGCCATTTGCTTTTCTTGACTGGTCTTGTGACCACTTGTTCTCCCCCACTTTTCCTATGGGGGTGTGTGAGAACATTATAATGCTTATGTTGTGTAGGCTGTAGTGGGGTAGCCCATAAGGGGTACAACCCAATTAGGGTTAGCACTTGTACTCAGTTTGGCCTCAATGCAACTCATTCTCGTGTGCTATTCTGACATCGCAGTCCTACCACGCTCACGTATCCGGCCGTCCCCTCTGGTCTCTCGATGGTCTCCACACCCCTTTGTTCTCTAGGAACTTGATGGGTGATGGACACCTACATGACTGCGGGTTGACAATCACATCTCCTGCACACGAGAGGTTTGCGACCTCTACGGACGCTTCTACTAGGGCACTCTTTGCGACGTTCTCTCAGGTGCCCAGCCCATGTCTCTTACGTCGGCTCAGGAAATTCCTCCAGGTCATATCTCGGAAAATATGGTAGGTCAGCTGAGTCAAGCCCCTAAGGACGCGTCAACTCCCACTAAAATGGCAAGATCGGAGGAGGACCAGTGTTGCACACCGATCGCGCCAAGCTAGATCGCCACACCAATTTTCCCCTTACTGCAAATTTGCAATCGCTTTCTCCATCGAGCCACATATGACAGGATCGAGATTTTATGGCAAATTTTCCGTATCGCCGCTATTGCGCAATCTATCGACGGCTGGAGGCACGTCCATTGCGCGAGCCACAGCAGAGACGATTTTCGTGACCAATTTACTGTACATTCTTGGAAAATGGCGGAAAAGTGATACCCTGCTGTTGGCGATCTCGCAAAAACACTGTACACTCTAATACGAATAGTGAGAAATGATTGTGCAGTCCTAACCGCAGCACGCGAAGCACACAGTGTCGAAGCATGAACACGAAGAGTTAGAGTTGACTCGAAGCGTTGCAGACAGTTAGAGTGGATCTGGACCGTCGGGGCAGGTGGCATCGAGCAGTTGCAGGATCGAGGGAATTGGCGGGAACAGTTTCGTAACTGTTCGAGTCGCACGGTTGGGTTTGAATTCGAATAAGGGAATGTACCCCTGAGAGTACATGGCTAGCTAGGTCACTTCGTATTCCCCTTGTACTACCATTTACAAGCCTGTATCTGAATGTTTTAATCATCTCAAAGCATTTTACATTCACTCTGTTTTGAGGTCAAGGGCCCACCACTACCATTCAGTTGTGTGCGAACCTTCCCGAGGTGATCCTAGGGACGATCAATTTATGATCGTAGCATGGTATGAGAGGGACTCAGGAATCCTTCGCACTGCCACCTTCGAAACGCTTAGGTAACGAAAGGTGGCGTCCGGCACACGATCGCGTGTAAGGATGGCTGGAGGATCTGGTGGTCAGGAAAATCTGACAGTTGAAGCGCTGTCCAACCCGGCTACGACAAACGAGGAAACAACGATGATTGGAACCGCCGTTCTCGCAAAACTGCTTCAGCGACTCACCAGCTTGGAGCAAGGACTCCAAACATTGCGGACAGGCGATGCGGGAACATCTTCCCAACCCTCTCAACCGGCCTCGAATGGCCAGATCGCCTCCCCGCACACCTTCTCCCTCGACACAAATGGCTCAACACCCAAGACTCCCCGTCCCAGCGAAGAGGCAATTCTCTCTGCGCAATCAAGGTTTCTCAGAAAAAAAAAAAAAAAAGACAAGTGTGTGCTTTGATGGCAGATATTTTTATGCCTGGAGCTTTGAGCTAGAGTTGCTGCTGGAAAACGCACAGATTTTTCATTACTTCGACGGGAGCTACTCGGGGCCTGCTGAAGATACCGTCGACGCCAGGGCGAGGTACTACAACAAGTCCCTAATGGCGTACGGCGTGCTTCTGCGAAACATGACGCCGGCAGAGCAGCTGAGTATCCGTTCATACAAGGAATCCCTTGATCCAGCCCTCGACGCTTGGCGCCACCTGAACGGCGTATATCAACCGAAAGATTCGGTTTCTTCGAGCCGCCTGCTCCAGCAGCTACTGGAGACGAAAATGGCCCCAGGGGAGAAGGCCAATAGCTACATCAATCGCTGTCGGAGCCTCCGCGATCAAATCGTGAAGTTGGGAAGCAGTATTTCCGAAGAAAACTTCGTAAATATCGTGCTTCAAGGGCTCGGCCCAGAGTGGCGGCCCTGCAAGGCGCTTCTCCGACAGCAGGGGGTCATCTCGGAGGCCGCCCTTTGCGCCGCCCTTCTTGTCGAACAGAGAGACATGGACCAGCAGCGCCCAGCGCCGCGGCGAGACCGGGAACGCCTCGCCTTCTACGCCGACAACACTGAAGAGCGACGGCCGCGACGCCTTTCCTGCAAGATTTGCACGAATTTCGGGCACTTGGCAGATCGATGCAAATTCCGATCTCGCCCTCGCCAGACCAATCCGAGCACCTGGTCCGGCCGACAAGACGCACGAAACGACACGCGTCCAGCCCAGGGGTATCAAC